TGTGTTTTCTTATACAGAAATGGCAAGATTGGTATCAATTTATGGATATATTTTCGGATAAGTGTCTCTTTAGCACGCTCGTGTGGTGAATCATGAGTACTGCAGGCCTGGGTGTCCATGGTGAATGAGGTGGCGCAAGCAGGCTTTCGCTGAGGAGAGTCTCTGTATCTGCCTCAGATTCACTCCCACTATGAGGGGAAGAAGACGTCCCGGCACCGGCGGAACCTGGCCATCACCGGGGGTGTCGCTCTCTCCATCATCACCGCGCCCGTCATCGCCGCCGTCAGCGTCGGTAAGGTGTCACACTGTCCGGCACAGCCTCCCAGACCCCGAATCCCTCCAGTCCACAGTGTGGTTCTGAAGACTCCGCCTCTTCCTGCTGCTCCTTCAGGTATCGGCGTTCCCATCATGCTGGCCTACGTGTACGGTGTGGTGCCCATATCCCTCTGCCGAGGTGGGGGCTGTGGCGTGAGCAGGGGCAAGGGTCGGGGCGTCAGGATAGACTTCGATGAGGACGACGGTCCAATCACAGGTGAGCTAAGCCTGATTGACGTGCTCTGCTGGCCAATCAGACTGCGTGGATTTCTGGCCGGGATCCAATTGTTTTTTTTATTGTAATCCACTCAGTGGCGGATGCCTGGCGGGCACTGAAGTCCCCCAGCCTGGGGGAGAGCAGCCTGGAGGGAGCAGCCAGTGGCCTCAGCACCACCTCGCCCAGTGAGGGGCTCTCAGTGGCCCCTGGGGGCCTGGGAGACACGCCCCGCTTCAACACACTGGCTGGGGGGGCGCTGGGGACCAGAGCAGGCAAATACAGCAGGTACAGGAGGAGGAGAGGGCAGTTAGGGCAGGCGGGAGAGGATGCAGCACTGTGCAAAAGCCGCAGGCAGTCAAAGAAGATGTTTAAGGCTGTTTATCTGGGCAGCTAGTGTACATGTGCCCAGGAAAAGAAGCTAATTTCCTTTGGCTGCCTGTTGGTTGACACAGTGTATGTTACAGTGTGTGTCACTATTGCACAGTTTGTTACAGTGTGTCACTTTTGTACTGTGTATGTTACAGTGCATGTCATTTTGCACTGATTCCTTAGCGAATTGTGGTTTTGAAATAGAAAACCTCACAGTGTGTAACACGACCTCAGAGGGATAAAAGGCCGGGATCCGCTGTGGACACGCTGTGCTGTTCAACGCGGTTTCTGAGCCTGAGGACCTGCAGGGGTTTGGGGTTTGATGGGCACATTTCCTGGCGTATCTTCCAGGTTGGAGGTGCAGGCGAGGGAGCTGGAAAAGGAAGGGGCACGGAGGGAGACGGGCAGCATGGGCACTGCCAGCGACTGCGCCAGCACCCGTGGCATGGCTGGCTCCATCGCCTCATCCTACACGCTGCCCGACAGGTGAGCCGGCCCCACGCTGCCTCTGATTGGTTCGTTTCCAGTAGCTGGTGCCTTGGTCTTACCGAGCGTTCCAGGCATCCCAGGCCTTTGTAAGTAAAGGTAACCGTTCCTGTGATGCTCATTTGAGACTGATTGCATTTTGGTTGTGGACGTCATGGTCCAAGTAGCTGCTGTTCACTTCCCGTGGAGGGTTGCTGCTGTTGTACCCTGAGAAAAGGTGAACCTGAGTCAGTCATCATCCAGCTGCAAATGTTTTTTAGTGGCTTTGGGTTATAAATAAATATATAAATATCAAGTAAAGTGGGTTTTAACTGTAATTTAAACCATATACAGTTAGTACAATACACAGTTAAATGATACAATGCTTCTCCAGGACCATGGTGCTGCATAAAGCAACACAGGACTACACAAGCTACACAGAACGACATACAATGCATGTGTGTGCAAACATTGTGAGACAGTGCAATAAGACATAACAGTGGCTCCAACGAAGACAGTGCAGCCCTGACCAGTGCACAGTCCGAAGACTGCGCTATTCACAAGTGCACTATGTAGCAGGTCGTGCAGAGATGTGACAGTATATTAATAAAAAGAAGTGTGAACCCTGTTAAGCGAGTAAGAGAAGCAGCTAAATGAGTTACAAGAAATCTGTGAGATGTTTGGCAGGGAGCTGAAGCCCTTTGTTAAAATGCTTTGAGAGTCTCTGCCCAGCTTCTCACACGCCGCTCCTACTTTCCAGGGACGGCACCAACCTGGAGATCCAGGTAGACATTGAAACCAAACCGAGTCACCTGTGTCTGGCCAGTGAGGAAGATCTGGCCCAGCCCACGGTCCCCATGCTGCCCGGTCAGGGGGAGGAGCCTCAGGACTGCAGCTCGCGTCGGGGGGGCCTTCTGTCAGCCTCGTCGCCGGGCATGTCGCCGGGGGCATCGCTGGCCGGGGGGGCATGTCGAGACGCCACGCTGGCGCAGCCCGAGAGCATCCGCAGCGATCTGGAGATGTCCGACACCCAGTCGGACGACATCGCTGAGCTCACCTCCGACGACGGCGCCGACTCCCCACACCCCCGGGGAGGACAGGCCCCGCCCCCACCTTCTGTGACCCGCGCACCGGCTCCTCCCACATGCCGGGCACCAGCCTCCGCAGACAGCCTGCACTGCCCCGACAACATGATGCTGTATGCATGAAGGGGCAGGGCTGGCTAGATCTCCATGTGTCCCATTAACCTGAATGACCCAGTCGGTCTTCTGTGTTCTGAGTTCAGTTTTTTGATACATTGATTTCTCTCACTTTCTGTTTATTTCATCTGGACTCTTTTGGTACTAGAGCCCAATTTTTACTCACCTCTGATGCCCCCTAGTGGCTTGCACCCGTCTGTCTGTCAGCCTGCACAACATTTACAGGGTTCTACCTCTTTCTTTCTTTAATTCTTTGTGGTGCAAAAATGCCTTGGCTCCTTTAGCAAAAAAAAAAAAAGACAAGAAGAGAAGTGTTGCAAAAAAAAAACAGGGTGATGGGGGAGATATACACAGCGTGTCACCAAGCACACCCCAGCAGGACCACGCCTGGGATGGTGGCAGAGTGGGGTTTTCCGGCTACATGGGACTTAGCGTCTCTTGCCGTTCGTACCGATTCAAATTGGCACATCTTTTACCATATTTGTATCTGACCTACCTGGAGAACTGTACTAAATGCGGGAAGCATGAGGCTGCATGGTTGCGTGTATGTATGTATGTGCCAGAGCATATGTGTGTTTCCATGTCTGTTATAAGTGTTGGGGGGGGGGGGTGGCTGTCGTGGGGGACAGAGGAGCCGCCTTACAGACAGCAGGGGGCGCTGAGGTTCCTGACCGACTGATACACCGTCTGTCCACCAGATTTGTGGACAGGGGGGCCAGCTGTACTGTATCACTCGGAACCGCACCTCTGAGCCAGCACACACGGCACTGATGCAGACTGGGGGGGAGAAGTCAGCTACCAGACCTAAACTACCATCATCCAACACTGAGGGGGGGGGGTTGGGGGCAGCACTTGTGCACTTTACCTTGTTGTTTTACTGTCTGTCATGTATATGTATTATATATCGGTTTTTACTCTCGTGGTTTTGACGATGCTCACAGGCCAGCGGGCCGTGATAAGCAAGGCTTAGAAGAGGGAGGAAAACCTTTCTGTATAACGGAGATCCCGCCCTCTTTCTCTTCCACGTGCCTCACTTTCGGTCTCGCGATGCATCTCCGGTCACAATCATCGTGCAGTTGTGTGTAGTGGTTGGACATTCGTCAGTCACGCCCGTCCCTTATGGCATGTGCAGTCCGGTCTGTCTCTGTGCTCCAGGTCCGCTTCCCTCCGCCTTTGGGGTAACTACATGAATGTACCTAAGATTGAAATTCTGAAATAATCAAAGTACTGCAAAAATGATTACGAAATACAATTACCTGTTAAATAAAAATTTAAAGAAAATCTATATTTAAATAGCAATATGACATGAGTCTGTATTACCTGCTGTTGTTTTGCCCCTATGTGGGTTCTGGCCCTTAGGATTGAGAAAGCTGACTACTGGGAAATAAATACAATGTTCTGCTAAACCGTGTCTGTGTGTGTGTGTGTGTCAAAAGGGGGCAGTGTGTAGCCCGATTAATCCAGTCAAACAGAGATGCTGAACCTGAACAGTTGGACTCTCTGAGCGGTGTCCGTTTTCGCTACATATCATTGGTTAATTTTGCTTCACTTATACTGTGGCTACATACATTAAACCAGCCTTTGAATGGCAAGTTGTCTAAACCACCCTGTACCTGTCTGGAGATGCTGTATCTCATCAGGATGGGAGAGAGACCATTACAAAGAAGACCATTAAAATCCATCCATCCTTATGCCCCCCCCCATGACCCTGATGTTTACACGGTTGCCAACTCTGGTCAGCTGACGAGTGAGATTTCGAATTTGAGACAAGTCTACACACACATGCACACGTTTTATTACCTTGTAAATAGTCTGTAGGGTTTGCAAACTACCATGCTTTTGATATAGCTAATTTTATAGATTTTCCGTAAGATTTCTTGCATGGGCGAGAGTGTCTGAAAGCCTGAGTGTCACGCCAGATGCGTGAGAGTTGGCGGTCCTTTGTTTACAACTGCTATTAACCAGAACATGTCTGACCTGCCAGGTCCCTGTCTGCTCTGTGCAGGGGGTACCTGCTTTAGCCTGGATAATCTTGCGTGACCCTTCTCTTGTTAATAAGCAGATTCCTCTGTGACAGCTTGGGGCTGCCTGGAATCTGCAGATGGTGCTGTTCACTGGTCTTTCCCGAGTGTATCTGGGTTGGCATCAAGCCCTCTCTACACCTTTCTCCACGCTGCTATAGGAAAAATAACGGCATTTGTATGTATTATTGGTATGTACCAATATAAATCAAGCGCATATATACCATTAAGAAGCAATACTTTTATATGCTACAGTGACGTTTTATAACCTAGAGCTATCAGATTTGCAATTTACGCCAGTGTTGCAAAAGTAACGACACAACACCTCGCTGTACGGCACTGCCGGGATTTGCCGTAAAGCGGTAGGGCTTCACGGAAGGTTAAAGAGATCTCCTTTAATTAAGGTAAAGACTGTCCAAAACTACACAATCTGTATCCATAATTTTGTGCCATTTTGAATTTTGTTTACGTATATGTAGAATTAATTATATGTGTTAAGGCGTATTTTTTGTCTTAAGCCAAGTAGCAGATTTAGCGTTACAGATTTTTCGCAGGTATCCGCATGAAGGCAACTGACCTTTTTATATATTTGTGGTTTTCTTGCCAATTTTTCGTAAATTTTCAAGGTGTTCGTTAATTGACGACAAATCATCTTTGCCATTCAGACTGTTAGCCTAGCGCAATACAATTTTATCGTTGGCCGTGTGCATTAGCTGTTTAACGTTTGGTTCATCTTTTGTATTAAAATATTATAATGCATCTATAATAATATTTTGTAGTCAATCAAGCTCATACGTTACATTTCATGTATTATGTTGGAAACGTTCAAGTGGGATAGAGGACGGTGTTCTTTTTGTGCTGACAATTCACGGACATATAGATATAAGATCTACGTGTGTATATACTGTAGATATATAGCGTTTGTTAAACTAATTTGAAAAGGGGCCAAATTAAAACAAAAAACAGTTCTTAAAGCCTCAGAGTAAGTGTATCTTAAAATGAAACTATTTTCCTGTGTTGTCTCCCATATTGCGCTGCAGGACCATGCCGTTCGTGGACCTGCAGGAGAAATTGGGTGTAAACGTCGATCGCTGGATGCTGGTGCAGAGCGGGCCGCAGCCATACCAGCGCGCTGCCCGCTGCCATGCTTTCGAGAAAGAGTGGATCGAGTGTTCACACGGTATCGGCCAGACCCGGGCTCGGAAAGAGTGCAGGGTGGAGTTCGAGGACTTCTATGAGTGCATGCACCGGCAGAAGATGGTGAGTCCTGAGCCCAGAACTCCGTTTTGGCCAAAGAAATGAAAAAATGAAAACTGAAATCATGCTTTATTTGCCGTTTGTACAAATACAGGTGCAATGATTCTTTTTGCATATCCCATCATGCTCTCCTTTGAGACACACACACAGTTGAGAGTTAAGGGTCAGCCATTTCTATGAAGGCTTCAGAGAAGCCTGTTGAACATTGCAGCCTTTGAGCTGTGCTGAAGTTGTTCCGTGGGAGAGAAGGGGGTCCAGCAGAAAGGTATCCGAATGAAGCTCTGCTTAGGTCCATGCAGAGTGAAGCAGTGCTTCTGCCATTAGCTGTCCTGCACAGGGACATGAGGAAGGCCAGGGAGAAGCTGATAGAGTGAGCGGTGCCCGGAGACTGACCTTAAGAGTAATCAGGAAGCCGAGGTCTTGATTGCTGATTGGTTAGTTTGCTCAGCAGGCTTTGACTGGCTTTAGATGTGTTGCTGAAGCATCTCAAAAACACCACTTCTGGAATTTCCTACCAGCCAATGAGATGTTTCTCCTTGGCTGACCTCATTCTGTCGGATTGAACATAAACATACAGACATTTTTCCTTGGATTTATACTTGGTTACCAGCTTAAGTGGTTTCGTGTGGCGTTTCCCTGTTTGCCCCATGTTGTATTGGTGTCTTCCCACAGTCCAAAAACATGTGGTTTGGCAAATTGGTGTTTCTCATTGGCCTGTAGTTTTCAAGATAGGCTCCATACCCCCACGACTCTGCACAGAAAAAGTGTGTATAAAAAGTGGATGATTTGGTGCGTGCGTGCGTGTGTGTGTATGCGTGCGTGTGTGTACATCCTGGGTGTATTCCTGTCCTGTGTCCCATGTGCCCAAGATGGGCTCCTGCCAATAGTGCAACTCTGCCAAGGATAAGTAATTGCAAGAAGAATGGATTTATGAAATGTATTAAATGTTGTAGCTATTAAGAGTAAACAGTAAGCACTGCTTTCTCTCTGCAGCAAAAACGCCTGTATGAAATACGGACTCAGCGTGAGAAACTGATAAAAGAGGGATCCTACACGCCTCCAAAGCACCACGCCGGCAAGGAGGAGATACGTCCATGACCCTCTTCTGATCCCTGATCTGTGACCTTTGACCCTCGGCTTTCAGTGATTATGCCATGCAGTCCTTGTTGATGAACAAGCCTGTCCCAACTAATTATTATTCATTTTCCATTTGAAAAATAAAGCTATTCAATCCCTTAATTCTATAGCCATGTTTTTGAGTGGTGGGGGAGTTTGAACTGATGTGGGTAATGGCCTTCACTTGATTGTTCAGTACACTATGTTGTAATTTTGTGAACAAATAAAGTTCAGTCATAAACTGCAGCAGCAACATGAGTTAGTAAGGTGACACTGGATCGCTGGTGATGCTTTGGGCTGCAGTGAATCTGTGTCGCCCTTCATCATCAGCAAGTTCCTTTGACTTACTGAGCAAATGATTTTCTTGATGTTCTAGACACTTTGCCCACAAAACTCTTACGTTTCAACTTTGACGAATGACTGAGCTGTGACTGAGACTTTCTGAATACCGCACCACCTTTCTGACAGTTCGCCGGCTTACGCGTGACCACTTTTCGTGTCAGTCATGAAGCATTTCTGGGATGATTGATGCTTCGATTTCCACTCTTGCTTACCGCTGTTACTTCGATAATAGATTTGTTGCGCCTATACTGCATGTCCACCTGATTATATTTTGGTGCTAAATGGTTATTTGGTTGATTTGGTTCAGTTAGACTAAAGGGTATTTCCTGAAATTGTGATTCATTCTTTTGTGATAGGCAGAGGGCGCCAGTTGTCCACAGAAAGTAGGGAACAGATTTCTTGCAATCCAGTCGAGCTGTGATCCTGCCAATTCACAGCGGCCTGATGTACTTATTCACTATTATTATTATTAATTTCAAGGAAAATTCAGCCGTATGGTAACCGCAGGGCGCCATGAGAAGTCCTGGATCTAAACACGTGCTGGTCTAAAGAGACAAAACAATTTCGTGTACTGTGCGTTCCTGAGGTTGTGATAAACCACTGCATTCCTATTCATCTTGGTGTTGTACTTAGAATGTATTTAACGTGAGTCGATATATCGATTGAAAAGAAGTAATCTGCAGGTCGTTATTATTCAACGGGTTCTTAACGAGTAGTATTTGATTAAAACAACGGCGGCCCTGGGTTAATTCGTTCATGTCAGCTGGAATTTTGTTGACTTCATTCACGGGTCTATGAAGACAAGGCGTGGACGATTTCCCCTTTCTGTACGAATCGTCAATTCCCAAAGAGACTGGAGGGGAGTAGCCTCGCAAAAATGCTTTCGTGAGTGTTAACGTAAAATCATTGCTATTCAGAGAAAAACAGTTGCAAAAAGGGACAGACTGACGAATACAAGAGGTAGGTATCCCAAACAGAATAGGCCTGCATCAAATTAGGATAACAGCGAATCAAGAAGATTTTAGCAGTCAGATATGAAGGCTCAACGACACTTTAAACCACAGTCGTAACGGCGTTCTCAATATGTGCATGTATGTCGGACTGCCTTACACATGTCAAGACAAAGCCAAGGAAGATGCCCTCGTGTAGGGTTGTATTTCGGGGGGTGTGGGCTGGCCCCTTTGCTGACGCCGTGCATGCAGGATGCTGCATCGCATACGATGGTACCAGCTCGCGCCTGTCTGCACAGCGATCATATCCACGTTTGGCTCATGGTATATCCGCTAAGGGGGGAGAGAGTGAGGAGGCGAAAGAGGCGGGTTGGGCTGAGAGGGAGGCTGGGAAAGAGAGGGGGGAGAGAGATCTGGCGAGAGAAGGTGGGGATCCGACAGCCATTATCGAATCATAGCCGCGCTATTCCTTTTTTTCCGCGTCCTGTTCGGCGCTAACGGTCCAGCAGAAGCCCGCTCTCAGTCCGCGTGTCCCCGGACTTCATTATCCGTGGATAACTTACTGGCGGGGGGGCGGACGTAGCCTCGCAGGGCATCAGCATCTCTGCCAACCTGTCTCCGTGACCCCGTGCAGCAGTGCGAGGATCGCCGCGATCCGGTAAGCAGGGATCGGGTGTCGCTGGACCGAGCGACACGGCATGTGTGCTCGGACACTCGTTGTGTGGTATATGCACGTAAATATGAAGGCTATAATAATATTATTATTTGCATTATTATTAACCATTGCGATTGAGAGTGGGAAGGGAATCACCTTTCTACTCGTGGTTTAATTAAACCGTATCGCATGTCTTTTACCGGAAAAAAATGTGCACAGTTTTTGTTCGGTGGTGTGAGTAATAAAACGCAATCTGTTCACACCGACTGCGTACACAGACAAATGCAATTAGTCCGGTAATATTTACATTGGTGGTTCGGACAAAGCATTGCTGTGCTCACGCTGACTCGTGTGCTGGCGACATTTCGTCCCTCGTTGTCACACTGGCATACGTTACCTCCTTTTTCTAAGCAATTTTTCTTATCAGAAGAAAAAAGGGTAATTGTCACATTATTCATTGTGACAGAATGTGTATTTTCTATAAGTACACTCTGCTTATAAAAAAATCCCGGCATGGTTGAGTTTCCCATGGCATCGTGTGAGGATGGTTAGAGGTATAAAGCCTAATTTATTGATCAAGTGGTTTTAATCCAGGCAAAGGATTCGAGCTCACAGACAGAGCCCCATCACAGGAATCAAGTAATCGCTACGATTCATGTGGTTAATTTTATGTTTCACACCCTTCATTTTAGGTGGGTGATATAAAAATACCCCCGCCCAAAAATAGGATGAATAGGAAAAGGCGCACGTGCTTTGTTTTCAATAATTTACACAGACCAGGCCCTGTTGCTCGAAAAAAAACGGCATGCCGTACAGTTTTCATTTCCCCAGTCTCGCCTGTGGGCATTCACACATATGAATTATTGCAGGATTATTGCTCCGTGCGCCGGGGATAAAGCGGTTCCACAGAGCCGTTTCACCCCTAGTTGGGGAGCCGCTGCGCCCCCGACACGCCCCCTCGGATCGACCGAGGTCAGCACGTAGTTCGTTTCCTATATAAAACTTCTTGGTTCTTGATCTTCTTGGCTGATGCTGGATCAGTTTTTATCCCTAATGGAGGAAGGTGTGTCTGATTAGTAATTAAGAACGGAAAGTCACCAGATCTCTGTGCAAAGTTCCATGTTAGACTTCACTGCATATATCCCTATTGCGGGGGGTGTGGGGGGGGCGGTTATTGGAAGTTGTGGATTTGGGGGTGGGGGCGATGGTACGCAGACGATCTGTAGCCACACCCCTGGGAGAGGTCGGGCTTATTTATTTTAGGATGAATACCTTCATTAATGTAATACAAGACAGTGTCCTTCGTGGGTGGTATTTGGGGGGGCACAATGGCTAATTTGAGGGGGCATGGCTTGCAAATGTCCCCGTGATGCTGACCCTGCCTGTACGATGCCATGTTTTAGTGGCAGAATGTTGTTGCTCCAATCCACACCCTACCAAATGTACTCACTAATGCCCTGCTAGCTAGGCAGTGTAGTGTAATTAGCATCACCCAGAAAAGTGCTACATCTGTCACTGCCGGCAGCTGGGAAGCGCCGTGCACCTGCGTCAGTGGAGGCGGCCCCTTACCCCATTCTCACCTTTAAATACGTCCCCATTAAGGGATTTTTCACTGTCTGGTTTCAGTGTTTTCCTGTGGATCTTGCGGAGTCAGCTGGGCCTGCACTCCTTACGAGCCGGTCTGCACCGTATGTGAGGCGGTGATTACTAGCATGCCGGCGGGGGCTAGGGTTTATGACGGTGAAGCTGGGAGTGGGGAGGCAGTGGTGACCACCACTTAAACAGGATCCACCCCCCCCACCCCCTGCTAAGGCGTACACACACCAACCAGTATCTTTGCTGGGTGGTTAGCAGAGCCACATTTTAGGGCCCCCCCTGGGCTAAAGGCATTATTGGGGGGCAACCTATAGCATAAAAAAATCAGGGGGCTCCTACAACTTGGGGTCCTGGGCTACAGGCCAGGTTAGCCTGTGCATACGTCTGGCCGTGGAGGTCAGTATTTGAGTGTGGTGTAAGATTACGCATGGTAGGTCTGCATTTTGCTAGTAGACTGGGCTCCTTGTCTTTCTGGGTGTTCGCTCAGCAGAGGGTCCTGTCCATCGGCATGTCAATGGGCAGTCCTCGTCCTCCCCGATCACGGCGCTCTCCTTCCCCGAAAGCAGAGTCTGTTCTGTTGCAGGCTCTGTGTGGGTGTCTTGCCCTGTCCGTCACTGCGGCCAAAGGGCCGTGTTCGAGCTCTGAGGGAGCCACGACCTCCGTGCTGGCAAGCTGGAACTTGTCTGCCCTGTGTCAGAGCAGGTCTCTGGTGTAGCCTTCCTCCAGAAGTGTGGCTTGTTAACCACCTTATTTATCGTCCTAAACGGGAACAAAATACAGTGAATACTGACGTAATAATAAGCATCAAGATATCAATGTCAGTAAAATATACCACAGATTCAGAAATCTTTCTTTTCAAACCAAATCCCCAAGGCTCCTGATGAAGTGGGTCGTGGCATCGAGTGATAAATGAGCTAAATCTCTCTGCTTCAGTAGGTGGTTTGAGTCTAGTGCTGCACGCCATCGGCGGTGCAAATGAGAACAAGACGGAAGCGATTAAATAATTCCTTCGTAAAAAGGCATTTTCTGTTTGAATTGTGCGGCAGGCGTAGCGATACCGTCGCTTCCAGTCTTGCTCCGTCTCTATTTATAACTGGCTCGGTGTGGAGCAAAGCTCTGTCAGGGAACAGCGGGGCAGAAGGAACGATTCCAAAGCCGCGCGCGGGGCGGACTTAACCCCTTCCTCTCCCAAGGGGGGGTGCCTTTGGCTTGAGCAGGGCCAGCCGGGAATCAGGATTTGCAACCTGGAGGATTGTATGTTTGAATTGTGGGTGGGAAAAGCACGAGGGTGGGAGGGGTTTATGAAAGGTCCTAGGATGGTGCCTTCTCTTGTATACAGCCTGGTTGTAAATTCAATCATCACAAATGATGCAACATGATGTCATTGGATAGAGTCGAGATAATATTACAATGTGATTCAATATCTGAGTCTGTGTGCTTGGATTCTGGTCTTTAGCAAAAAAATCCCTGGATCTGGAATTGAATAGCGGCCAATTCCCTTAAGATATGATGACCTGTTAGGTAGTCAGACCAAATAAAACTGTTCAAAACACAGCATGTGAGTCATGTGCTTTTCTGTATCCTCAGTTTTGGACCACATGATTAGTGTCTGACAAGCTAATTTGCAATGAAAATATTTTTGTTATTAAAACTAGTGTTTCACTATAACGACTTTCATTAACCTCAGAGAAACTGTGCAGTCGTAGAGAATCGCCCGTCAGCCATGACATCGCTCATTTCCTTAATCTGCTAGATCAATCACCCAGGACACTTCGTGGAGCCGGACTCTGGGATGGTCGTGTCTGCTGGCAGTTAAAGAAGTAGGATGTTACGGTGACATTTTGGCAGGAGACAAGCAGCCAGTGTCCCGGGGCTGTGAAAGTAAAAATGATCTCATAATTTCAGCTGTGTGTGTGTGACTTGAGGGGGGACCTCAGACGGAGTACCTTTCTGTTGGACTGCCAGAGCAGGACTGGCGGACAGGGGGATATTCAGAGGATGAAAAAGGGGAAAAGTACAGGGGGAAAAAATAAAACTGGGAAAAAAAGAGATGCACAGACATAACGAGGTTGAGGCTCCGGGATACACAGGAAGAGACACTATCATGTGATTCCACTTCCTGACATGGACGGTACCTCCTCTGCCCTTATAGCTCCTTCACAGTAAAGCAGTAGGGTCTCTCTCTTGGATTCAGACCCACAACCTTCCTGTCACGTTCCCAGTTCCTCAGTGTTCCCGGCACCCACCATGCTGTGAGGGTGACTTTCCGTATAAAAGTCTCTTTCTCCCCAGCAGAACCGCAGAAACAGCTGTGCAGTAAACATCTGTTTTTAATAAGTCACGTTCAGCCGGGACTCTGCTCTCTCCGCCCAGGAGAGGCTGCCTGGTCCAGGGGGACAGACACGGCATTTCTGAGAAGTGTGTTAGGAATGTGTGGTGGAGCTGAGCTGTGCTGCGCCAGAGGAGCCAGGTCCGAGAGGAGTGGTGTGGCTGCTGAACGCCGTGCTGAGCTCAGAGATATCAGGCCGCGTGACGGACAGCATGCACCCTGGGACCTGGGCATCCTCTGCTCCTCCTCCGCTCCTAATCAATTTGCTTTTTATGGGCTTCTGTAAGGAACGTTTGCTAGGCACTTGTCTGTGGAAATGTGCATCTCTTTGTTATTTATTAGGATTCAGTATCATGGCTGGGGGGAGAGGGAGGAAGCGAACAGCATTTGGGTTCCTGGCTCAAAGTGCCTGTCAAGCGTGCCACACACTGCCAGTCAGCGGCCTCAGATTCCAGGCTGTCACATGGTGTTAAACCAGCCAATAGCATTGTGATATTATTCTCTCTGCCACATTTAATTGGTTCCATAGCCGGCTAATCATTTCTCTCATTTTCTCCTCTCTTAATCTTTGCCCCCGCCCCCCACATCCTCTACATCTCTCGCCCCCAGGCTGCTGGCACCATGTCTTCCTCGGACGAGGAGAGTGTGAGCGAGCGTTCCTACCGCAGCGAGCGCTCTGGCTCTCTGTCACCACGGCTCACCACGCACTCGTCCGGCCCGCCGGGTCCCCCAGGTGACACGCTGCCCTGGAATCTGGCCAAGCACGAGCGCGGCAAGCGCAAGAACCAGGGCTCCGTGCTGGATCCCGCTGAACGCGCCGTCGTGCGTGTGGCAGGTGGGTGCTGCCTGGGCCGCTGAGCATGCTGGGAAGTGTCTGCCGGACGTCAGCATTTGCGGCCACCATTGCCTGTCGCTCTCGTACCATGGGTGTCCATGGGGAATAGGCGGATCATCCGTACGGAGTGAGCCATGGAAATTACCCAGCGTGCAATGGGACAGAGGAAGTGAGGTTCTAATGGCAGATATAGTGGAGAGACATCAGGGGGGTGTCATGGTTGTCCGATAGGAATGCCCTTACCTAAACTCTTATTGGACGATCACTGGTTCAAGCTTAAGTCAACCCGGCTGAGAAATTCTGCTTTGTGGAACATTCCCCAGGTGCAGTTGTGTCTGTATTTATTATAATGTTATTAATAAATAATACTAATTGAACATCATGATGCTCTGTTGAAGAAACCAGGCGGCAGTTTTCAAGAACTTTGTAACGTGATCAGATGATTGTAGGTTTGCAGATGGGAGCTGCTGTTTTACCCAATAAGCAGGAAGCCGCATGTCCAGCTGCATAAACAAGAAAAGCAGTTTAGAAAGCAGGGTGGGGGGGGGGGGGGGGGG